CAAGTAGTTAGTTGAAGTGATTTTAAAGACCTATACTACATAAAGAAGAAAATATAATTATTTCATGATTAAACAATGACATTGAAATATATGCGCATTGGAAATCAATAAGTCCCAAATACTAAACTTTGGACAATTACTAAAATTCTTCTCTCTTAATGATATGAAAGGTAAATCTAGTACATTAAATAAGTATTTTGTCTTATTGATTAGCAACAAGTCTCATTCTATCTAAAGATCTTAAAATACATAGAAAACCCAACTTGTTACCTTTAATTTCCAAGATCGCTTATCAAAAGAAATTAAAAACCATGATAACCACTTTTATACAGAATATTCGACGAATGTTTGGTGGTTAAAAGTAATCTCCAGGAGGCGTTTGACGTAGGTTTAATGTTGGTTGGAACTCACCAGCAAGGTATGCCCGTGATCTTCAGTAAGCAGATGTTCCCGTGGGACTGGTCATCCAAAAATTAAAGCAAATAAAAGATACAGCCTCATCTCACGGATATCCGTCTCCGGCGGTAAGGTCTCAACAAGTACGGAGCCAACACAAAAATTACTCATAAAAAGGTCGTGTGTGACCGACTTCAAGCAGTTGTCCCTTTGGCACTGCGGTTACGCTCTCAGGTCACTAATACCACCTCTAATCCAATTTCCTTCTTATGTACCTCTGGAAGAACCCTTCCTCAGTATAGACAACCGGAAGTGATAACCGCCCTCATAACTCTAATAGTACTCAAGACCACTGTATTCATATTCAACCTCCCTCTTCAATTCCTATTATTCCTCCTACATCGACTTTCAACTCTAAACTTCCTCTTTCGGCTTCCTCCTCAAGTGTCACCATGTCCAACGATTCTAGTGCATGAAACACTGTTTCAGGTCTACTGAAACCTCGCTCCAAACTACACATTGAAGCGTTCAATGTACGCACTCTATGTCAAATCGGTCAGCAGGCTTCCTTAGATAAAACCCTAGGATCTCGTGCTATTGATGTATGCTGTGTCTTCGAAACACGCATACAGGATCCCAGTGTGGTCATTCACTTGACCTCACCTCTCCAAAACGGAGGACCGATTAGATACACCCTCCGTGTATCTGGCGATCTGATGGCTAGTTCTCGTGGACTGGGAGGTGCACGTCTACCACTAAACATGAGGGCGGAGCAAGCACTGTAGAGCAGATCCCCGTTAACAGTCACATATCTGCTGTTCGTCTAGACGGTTCCGTAAAAACTCGGAAGGATAGGGACACACGTCGTTACCTTTTTGTTGTTTCTGTCTACGCTCCCACCGACTGCAGCTCAGATGATGTGAAAGGTGAATTTTGCAGAAAGCTATCTGAACTTCTTCAGAAAGCTAAACGCCCAAACATAGTACTCGTAGAAAGTGACTTTAGTGTTCAAGTAGGTAGCTGAAATCAAACAGAAAGACATTTAGGTGGATATTTTAGTATTCCGACACAGCGAACAGATAATGGTGATCGTCTGCTGCAACTGTGCTCAGACAATCGCTTATTTTTAGCAAACACAAATTTTAAGCATAAGGAGAGACATCGTCCAACATGGCGACCCTCCACATCAAACCAACGATGGACTCAAATAGATCATATTGCCATCAGTCATTGTTGAAGAAGGTCGGTAGAAGATTGCCGCTCATTCTGGAGTACCTGATTGGACTCCGACCACGCCCCAATGCGATCAAGCATCTTCTTGCACTTCACTGGACGCAAAAAAGCCACAGTAAAAAGATTCATTAGAACTGAATTGAGTAGCGAGAAAACCAAAAGTAGGTTCCAGGAACAACGGAGGTCACACTTAGTTAGTTCTGAAAACGAGGCTGACCCAGATGTTTTTTGGAAAGATATACAAACAGCAGTGACATCTGTTAGTGATTTAAACCAAGAGGTTACATAAAACCAATGGATTTCTTCTAACTCTATTTCACTGACGGATTTTCGTAAATTCATCCCATCAGGCTTTGAACACGATGAAGAGCGAAAACGAATCAAATCTAGGTTAAGCAAAAATCTAACAAATGGCCGTGAGCAGTTGCGGGCAACGAAAGTAAAAGAGATGGAAAAAACAGCGACTACAGGGAACACAAGACAACCCAACAGACTAATAAAAGAAACTGGAATTAATAAGTCAAGTGTAAGTCAGACTATTTCGGAAAAAGGCGACACTCATCTGCTCGCAGTCCAGACGTTTAGAACGATGGGCGGGACATTGCAGAGAACAGTTCAGCTGGCCTTCAGCTACTCCACAACTACCCTCCATTCCCAGACAGTGTGAATGGAACATTGAAGTAGGTCTCCCAAAGCTAGCTGTAGTGCAAAAGGCTATAGTTAATCTGAAACGAGGAAGGGCAGTTGGTCCTGATGGATTGGCTCTAGAGGTCTTTAGGGATAGTGGTCCAATTTTGGCGATTAGTTTGACTAATATTTTAGCCAAAATCTGGGAGTTGGAATTATTTCCATCTGACTGGTCACAATCACTGATCGTCCCAACATATATGAGAGGGTCGAAATCATCATGAGACAACCATAGAGGGATTAGTTTAACTAATATAATGTCTAAAATACTAGCTTCCATAATTATCAGACGCCCAACTAAGACTCGTGAACTGCAAACACGAGAGAACCAAGCAGGCTTCAGACCTGGTCGTGGTTGCACCGACCACACATTCACCATTCGTCAGGTTCTAAAACACAGGCATACTTATCGGCGTCCGACGATGGTGGTCCTTCCTAACTTAAAAGTAGCATTTGACTCTGTAGACCGAGAGATTCTGTGACAGTGTCTATCGTTGAAAGGTGTACCTCGGAAGTACATAAACCTTGTAAAGGATCTTTACACGAAAACTACTATTCGAGTGAGAGCTTATGGCGAACTGTCATCTACTTTTGCAACCTCAAGTGGTGTCCGTCTAGGCTGTCCATTTTATCCATTTTTGTTTAATTTCATCATAGACCTGTTGATAGAAATAACATTCTCGTTGACTGAATTTTCGGATATTGATCTCCTTCCAGGAGGTCCACTTATCGACTTAGAATACGCAGATGATATAGTCCTGTTTAGTGAAGACGCTGAAAAATGCAGAGTCTTCTGGTAGCACAAATCAGCAATGCCAGAATGTTTGGAATGCGCTTCTCCCTCTCTAAATGCAAGTTGTCGCTTCAGGACTGGTCTGCGTCAATACATGAACTAAGGATAGGGAGTGAAGTAGTCGAACGTGTCGACAACTTCACTTTTCTGGAAGTCTGATCAGTATTAGTGGATTGTTGTCTGACGAAATCTCTGCGCGTATTCAGAAGGCTCGTTTGGCTTTTGCCAATTTACGTCACTTATGGCGAAAGCAAGATATCCGTCTATCAAATAAGGGATGAGTATACTGTGCGACAGTCCATTCCGTTTTACTTTACAGTGGCGAAACGTAGCCATTAAGAGTAGAAGATACTCGTATTTGATCACAGATGACTTAGAAATATTGCTCGTATCTCCTGGGATCACCGGGTAAGTAATAGTGAGGTTAGACGCAGGGTATTAGGGAATGATGGTATATCAGTTGATGAGGTTGTGAATCTTCATCGACTGAGATAGTTGGGGCACGTGTTACGTATGCCTGAACACCGATCACTACGATGACTAGTGTTAGAGGCGGCCAAACCAAAACGTGGAGTCATTGCTTGAAGATACTAACTTCTGGTCTTAGCCGTGTTGTTAGATGCATACTACTTGGTTGGGGTCTGTGTGACTATCGTAACCAATGGTTGGAGACTCTTGGTGATATGCCTCAGAACCGATCACAACCATGTACGTGTATACACTTTCTGTCTTCTTTTAACCTAAGAGATTAAAATCGCTTCTTATCTTAGTTTCCACGAACTAATTCCTTTTCCTGTACTATGTTTTATGTTTAATCTTCGACTAATATATTACCACCACTGACGTTGTAGTGGCATTGGGCCCTACTATGAGACAATGTGGGAAATAGACATTCAACACTTACCACGAAGAAAAACCAAACGACAAAGTGGGCCAGATCGTTTATCAGATCTCATGTTACAATTCTAGATGACGGAACGTTGCTCACCACACACACGCACTCCTGAACAGTTGGTACTTTTGCTCACCCTAATATATGACTAGGCTCAACCTCACCTGAGTGTGAGGTGAGCAACATTCCGTCACCTAGAATTGTAACATGAGATCTGATCAACGATCTGGTCTTTCTTTAATTCGGTTCCTCAAATTAGGGTGACTCTCTTCAGCAACTGGAAAACGTTAGTTCAATGCATACGCTATTCGGACAAAGGGTGTAACAATAGGGTATAAGTTCACAGTTGTCGAAATTCCTATTTTATGCTCTGAATGGACATTTCGAAACGAAAAACTTAACAGAAATGTATGATAGTCGCAGAACTTTTATGTTAATGGGAACTAGGCAAGCACTTAAAAACCGAAATCTGACATTAGATAAAATGCCACATGTGTTGTAGCTTATAGCTAAGCAGGCAAACATTTAAATAAATTACATTAGATTGCTCTCATACTTTCCAACATAGTACAGTAAACCGACACTTGAAATTTCACTTCAACAAGGAGAAACTGTTATGAAACCTCACAAGCTACAGATTAACATGCGACAGTATTCATAAGTCATGCAATACTATGTAAGGTGATAATAAAAGACAATCCCCCGTGGAAGGGGAGGGTTTCTTGGGTACACGTCGTCTCTGAAGTTCGGAACCGATTTCTGTTCCATGTTGGTAAGATTATATGCCACAAGTGGAAGGTGGAGCCGAACGCTTGATACACACATTAAAATGAGAAATTTATCACCAAATTGAAGTTGAATTGCCCCCAAAACTAGTTAGTTTGCTGTTTGTGTAAGAATATACCGTGGCTGTAGTTAGTCATACATCAGGGGACACTACTGAAGTAAGAATATTTCGAACAATCATATGTAACCCGTCAGACAGAAAAGCATTGGTCAATGAGTGCGGGTTTGAGCCTCGATTCATCCATATTACTCACTCAAACAGTTAGTCAAACTAGCCCTGATACTAGGTATGAATCAAAGCCAAGTCAAAAAATATGTACTAGGCTGCCAATAACGAAGACTTTTTACGGCAATTAACCATGGTGGCACTACCGATTGAAATAACTACAACAATCACGGTAATCAAATAGTTGTAAAGTGAATGGGAAAGGATTTCAATTAACGAGCTTGTGTCTGTCCAGACAAAGAAAGGCGGAATAAGTGTAAGCTTGAGGGAAATATAAGCGACATCGCCCAAGAGAAATTTGTGTGAATTTAGGTTACATTAAACCTATGGATCTCATTTTCGCTTTTTAAGAGGGCATATTGAGACATACCTCTTGTGCGTCCCGAAATTCACACTTTAAAGGTTGTCAAATAGTGCTGCAATACTAGCGGACAATTGGTGAGCACTATGCTTATTTTGGGGTTTTATTCTGAAACCTCGAGTGGATTTGAAGAAATCATCAATACTCCAATTGGTCAAGGGTTCTTTCCTCAAATTTTCCTAAAATCTGGAAAAAACTAGTCGCTTTTAAAAAGCCCGGGCGATTGTGGATGACTTGAGCTGAAGGCATCTAAAATTAATTTGGACCAAGGTATATAATTAATCGCCCGAACTTTGAAAGTGGTAACATTTTTTCACGTGGTTTAGGAATTCTTCGACTTGCTCTTTTGTAGGGTGTATTATACTGTGATTATCATCCTATCCTGTACATCTAACCCCGAAAAATAAGGAACAAACTTATTTTTATTCGACGTACAATTACCAGTTGGCATTGTACCTATTGCGGACTTAAGTCGTAAGTAGATCTGCAATTTATTACATACTCGCAGTCTCTAATCCTAGTATTAACCAGGTTAGTACTTAATAACAACTAATACTCAGATATTATATTTAATTTAACGAGCACTATGCTCACTTATTTTCATATCATGTCCAATAACTCCAGTAAAAGAGGAATTTCATCAACTTCTAAGCCAAATAAAAGGTCCAAATCTGTAACCCCTACAACTGACAACTCAGTGCTTGACAATGTCGAACATTTAACTACTGAAAAATATGTGTATTGTACACAAATGTCTATATCGTCACCAGATTCTCCATGTCGCAGCCCCTCTATCTCTACGTGCAGTATGCCAACGGTAAAACTGGTTGACATACAAGACACTATACCTACGTGCATCGAAAAATCAGCACAGTCTACTAGACAGTATGTTCTACCAAGGCCTAAATCTAAAATTACAAAAACTAAAGAGTCCAGTGGTCCATCTCATACACACCGAAATACTGATAGATATAGTAATGACATTCAACAGATACAAAACTCTTTATCCGAAATTAACGGCAAACTTGAGCAGTTAGCACCCCTCACTCATATTTGGGGCCTTGATACAGACAGAAATCTTGAGCAACTCACTAAAGCTGAGTGTATTTTGGAGTTTGTGGCTGAAGAAGTGACGAAGAGAGTGATGTCCTCCTACAATGCAGTTGTGTATAACCTCCCCGACCGCACACACCCATCTAAGTTAAGGGATATTTGCCTTAGAGCATGCGGTATGCCGAACGTTAACTGCAAAAACATCCGCCTTAGAAAAAAGTCAGACAGATCGACTTGCCCCCTTTTGTTTATGTTTGGCTGTTGTAACGATGCTAAGCAGTTTATTGATTTGAGCAAAAATATTAGCTCACTAATTCCATACAAGAATATAAAAGTCACTCCAGACCTTACGCCCTGTCAACGTCGTGTAAGAAGACGCGAAGCGATAGAATTGAATGGGAGTGTTACAGTCAATAATCAGCCAGAGACAGTTTGCAACACAGCAAATAGTTTAAAACACACGAACAATAAGCATGACACCACTCCACATACGGCTGATCACTCTGTTGATCTAGATGAGTCTACAGATCAGAAACCTTTGGATAAGATACGGACCCCAACTGACACCAAAAACCATAACGACATGACTAATCCCAGCTGTTCGTTCAGTAATGTATTAAAATGTGAGTCGTGTAACAACACACATCCAACTAAACCTTTACACTTGAAAATTTGTCCTCCTAAATATACCCCACAAGTAGACTTGAATGAACGTAAGTTCATCTCACAGAGACAACGAAAGACTCCAGCTCTGAAAATAAAGGGTGGGAAGACAAAACTCATGATACCGAATAGGGAAACACGTAAGATTGAACCCAACTGCTCTATAGGTATCCCAAGAACAGTGAACAGGTTCTCCCCGCTGCTATCGTATAACTTGCCTTCAACACCTCCAAGTTGCAAAAAGGGTGGTGGGCTTCAGCGTAGCAAGCCTTCTTACACGCAGACTAACGAAAACTACCAGAGAACTGGCCACCCAAATCACCCCCTGAAGCCTAAAACCATAAATAAGAATGGTAATAATAGGTTTCTCACTCCACACCCTACCTACATTCCCCAGGATCGCAACTGTAATTACTCTCAGAAAGAAAACTTCTCACACCCTTTAGTACCGACCCACCACATAACAACGGCTCCCATGTATAACAGCAGTCGCAACTCCTCCCAGTTACGCGTAGCAGACCCCTCTCACGCTAACCTAAATAGCCATAACAGGGGCTACGAGTCTAACCATCAAGACTATTTTGTAAATAACCATACACTTCACAGTAGGCCTGTACAATATTTTTTTGGAATAAGACCCCTAGTGACACCTCTGTTGAAGCATATAGCCCAGGTTATTTCAAACCACATGCAAACCATAAATCTGTTTCCTCCGTACAGTTTCCAACAGAGAGTACTCCCACCCTTTCCTCCTGGGTAAACTCCCCAATCAACTTCACTAGCTCATTTGATACATCTCCCACTAAGTCCAGCTATCAAAATACCGAGCTAATGAAGAACATTCAATCCCTCACTTCAAACTCATCTCACACCCGCGAGGGCTACGACGACTTTATCCGAGACACCCTCACCCATTCTAACTTAGTAGGCCACTTGCTTAATATATGTCTTATCAACGCTCGATCGATCTGCAACAAAAAGACTGATCTAGCCCTGTTTGTATCCATATATCAACCATCACTTATAATGATATCTGAAGCATGGACTAACAGTAATATTTCCGACCGAAGTATATCTGTAGTGGGATTGGACCATAACCACACAATCTTCAAAGCTGAACACAAGACAATTCGGAAAATAGATATTCAATATTTAACGCGGAGAAATATCTAACGATGGAAAAGGCGGGAAAAGTTAACCGAATGAATTAGAGTTGATCGAATGGCATGGCTCGGCCATGCAGGCGTGGTTCCTGCTGAATGTTATCTTATATCTTCTATTCATATTAAATATATTGTTCTTTCTCTGGCCTAACCTTGTTCTACATCATGTATTGGTAATTGATACGATACAGTGAGTTGGCGTAGTCGATGATGTGACTTCCACGTGAGATCTTATAGATTAGGCAGTTATATCATGGCAAATCTACAAAGTTAGGATTACGTCTATTATTAGAGCAGCACTAATATTATAGTAGACCATAGTTCTACATATCTCTTGATATTTATTACCTATACAGAAGCGATAGATTGAATGGACGAGGTGGAGGATGCCTTATTTACGCTCACTCTAGCCTAAACTCACTGCTATGTGATATGCCTGAACTAAACAAACTGAAGGATTCGGTGTGGATTGTATTAAAGCCGTCGAATTCCGTTACCTTACTGCTCGGCTGTGTTTATCGTCAACCTAACGCATCAATAGATGAAATAGCAGTATTATCGGAGGTATTCACACTAGCATCATCCCTCTCATTCACAGGCAAGCTCATTTGTGGTGACTTCAATATGCCCGAAATTTCTTGGCTGCCAGTCAAAGCGCCGAGACGTTATGAATCATTTATTGAATGTCTAGAGCTTGGACAATGGACTCAGTATGTCGATAGCCCTACCAGACATCAAAACATCTTAGACTTAGTCTTTACCAGTGGCCTCATCCCCAATACTTTGTATATTGGAAAAAAGTTCCCAGGTAGTGATCATAACATTGTCATATGCAGCCTTAATGTAAAAACCACAACCGATAGAAGTAAAACCGTAACACTTCGTAGAAACTATCGCAAGGTTGATTGGAATAACTTCCACAATTACTAAGAAGCACTGATTGGAGAACTTTCTTTACCTCAAACAATACCGACACATTAACCAATATATTTTATCACAACATCAAAAGTATCATCAACAACATCGCACCTTTAGAATACTGTAAACCTACGTTCTCCAAAGATCTCTATATACCGGTCAGTACAAGAAGACGTCTTCAAAGACATTGTACTCGATTCCACAACTTAAATGACTTTTCCTCTTTAGTAACGATGACAGAAATACTTGTCCGAACAGAGGCAATAAGTAAACAAAAAGCAGTAGCACAGGAAAAACGTGCAGTTGAACTTAATAATAACTCCTCTGCACTCACCATACTACTCCAAAATAAACTTAAACGCTCTAAATCGAGAGGGAGTATATTCATTAAAGGCAAACAAGTATACGAAGATCCCAAACTTATCACAGAATTATTTAGTGAACATTTTTGTTTCTCACTAACTAACGAAAAACCATTTAATGATTCAGAACCAATCCCAGTAACTCCCTGTGAAATTACTAATGTAGAATTCAGTGTACAAAATATCTCCAAGGCAATCAGTACATTGAAACACTCCTACACTGATGGACCAGATGGTATTCCATCTAGCATGCTAAAACGTGGAGGTGATGATATGTGTGTTTTGCTTCTCAAACTATTCGCGATATCACTCTCTTCAGCGTGTTACCCTACTGCCTGGAAAACTACACATATCATTCCCAAAATTAAAACAGGACCTGAAGCAAACGTTGAAAATTACCGGCCTATAAACATAACTTCAGTGGTATCCAGAGTGATGGAAAAAGTAGTTAAGGCGGCTGTAGTCCAACATCTACTAACTAATAATCTCATCTCGACCTCCCAGCATGGATTTCTTAGGTCCAGATCATGCGATACATGCCTAGTAGACTACCTGAATGATATAACTCTGAAACGAGACAGCGGACTCCTTGTATCAGTCCTATTCCTAGACTTTAAGAAAGCCTTTGATAAGGTCCCACACAAAAGGCTACTCGTCAAACTAAAGTCCTTCGGAATACACAACCCACTGTACTCATGGTTTGCTTCGTTCTTAACAGAACGTAAACAGATGGTAAAGTACAATGACTGTCTCTCGTCCCCTAGACCAATCACCAGTGGAGTCATCCAGGGAAGCGTATTAGGTCCACTTTTGTTTCTTATGTATATAAACGATATATGTAACACCATAGAATTTGGGAAACCATACTTATATGCTGATGATCTCAAAATAGTATACAGCTATAAGCCTGAGACACTAAGCGAAAGTGTATCCCAGATCCAAAAGGACCTCAATAACTTAACTATATGGAGTGAAAAATGGCAATTACCATTTAACCTCAACAAGTGCGGGATCATGCACTTTGGAAAGCATCCCTATAAACCGCGACTTCACTTAAATGAATGTAGAGTCCAAACACTCGAATCAGTACACGATTTAGGAATTAATTACACAGGAAGCCTAAACTTTGAAGAACATGCCTCCTCTATTATTTCTAAATCTAGACGGCTAATTGGTTTTATAATGAAAAACTTTTTCACAACAGAGGGTAAACTTACTCTCTACAAAATATGTGTACGACCCTCCCTTGAATACTGCTCTTTTGTCTTCTCTAATATGAATATCGCAGACAAGATAAGAGTAGATGTTCAAAGACGTTTCACACGTCAACTACTAGGATGTAACTCGAATCTCGATTACACAGACAGATGTAAGCATCTATCTTTAGAACCTTTATGGCACCGTAGGCTAAAAAACAATTTAATATTTCTCTACAAAGCGATATATGGGCTCTCCTTTCTAACCTCCTGCCCGACTATCACCCACGACCCAGCCTATAGACTTAGAAACAACGCATATACACTACTTACCGTAAAACACCAAAAACAAATGCGTTGTAAGTTTTTTACAGTACGGTACAGTTTATTGTGGAACAGGCTGCCAATGCCTATCCGTAACTGTGATACGTTTACCAGATTCAAAAAGCTAATAACCCTATTTCTAGACTCCAAAGAGCTTCAACATTTCCTTGAACTCCCGCCCACCAATGAGGCACTTTATTACGGACCGCCTAGTATCTAGAAAGAACAAAATTATAACAAGTTCGACTGTTACTAATATGAATATAACCAAATCACAGAATATATGGCTTATCCTTTCCTATTATTCATTGTTTATTAATCATGACTTCATGCTCCTAACCCTAGCTTTCAGTCCCCAAATCTCTACAGGTTAAATGTACATTATTCTTCCTAAAAGTCATGCTTTTTTTTCTACTGCAAGTAGACAGATAGCTCAATCTTATGGATGCTGATCTACTAAGGCCGATCATACAAAGCTCAAAATTTGGCCACAAAGTCTTGTGAGTTTCTCAATGTTTTATTTGTCTTACCCTGAAATCTTTTTTTTTCTTTCTACAATTTTATACCCTCTCATATCTTTTGATTTGCTATTAGTCCTTACTTCTTTAAACCATTAGTTATTTTCATAGCAGTGTGATATACTATATGGACATCTAACCCATAAAACAAACTTTTCAACTATCTGATTTGCTTGTAACATGGACCTAGTAGAGACAGTGTATTCCAACTATGGGCTTTGATTAAAGCAGTATTCATACTTACCACAAACGTAAGAGAGCCTAACATCACAAAAGGAGGGAGGGTGGCGTTACTGACCAGCAAACATGAAGGTGGGGAGATAACTTCAATCCACCCATGTCTGTAGGGCAGAACATTTTGTTTAATTACGGCTCCTTATGGTTTAGTGGGATGTCACGAACTTATGGTATTGATGCTGATTTATCACGCAAAATACCTCTTTAAATCGTGTTACGAACGTTGAATTGGTTTCACTTCCTACTCAGAAATCCTATTACAAGCAAACTAGACAATTCGCTAATATACGAAGCCTACTCAAGACCCTATGACACTTAAAAATAATAATAATACAGAAAAAGATGAAAAGGGCTCCAACAGCCTCGATAAAAAAAGGAAGATAGTCAATTGTACATCTGTAGCGTGGAGTCGAGTTGAGGTTAACTATGAACACCGCTACAAAGAAGCACGTGCCAGATAAATCAGAAGGCGAGGGTTGGACGTAACCAAATAGATCCATAAAATCTCCGAGAAGCCAAATATCAGAAGGCAGTTAATGGACCAAGTCGAGGTGTATATTTGCTGGCGATCTCGTGGCATCGAAAGGATACCGAGATCGTGCCAGGATACAACCTTGGTTACAGAAGGTAACCGAATTCGCGCGAAGTTACAACCGAAGTGTAAGTAAAAGAATGGAAGCAAAATAAAGCTGTCATTAGCACAGTCAAACAAAAGCACATTAAAACAAGCACTGGTACAGTTGGTTATAATAATAATTGTTTTTATTAAAACAGTCGTGTTCTCGTGATAAATGTGAGTCACTACATATCACAATACTGCAATATTTGTACTGAAAAAGTTGTATTTTCTAAGTTTACAGACGTCACTAGACTATTTAACTATGCAAAAACCACGAACTTATCCAAGACAACATATGCTCAACCAACCCCCAATATTTTAGACACGGAATGCCGCCCTGAACAAAGTAACTCAAGGTCGTGGGGGCAGATTTGACCTGGACCTAACGTAAGAGGTTAGTCGCAAGCAAATTATATTTTCCCTGGAATTACTAAAGCCCTAGAACTTTCTACGTCTTAAAGCGTAAATCAGGAAAAGTCCCCAAAACCTGATATATTCCAGATGTATCGAAATGATATTTTATGTTTATTTACCAGGACTTCGAAGTACTGGTCTGCTTGTTTTTATATACCTTGGTCCAAATTAATTTTAGATGCCTTCAGCTCAAGTCATCCACAATCGCCCGGGCTTTTTAAAAGCGACTAGTTTTCTCCAGATTTTAGGAAAATTTGAGGAAAGAACCCTTGACCAATTGGAGTATTGATGATTTCTTCAAATCCACTCGAGGTTTCAGAATAAAACCCCAAAATAAGCATAGTGCTCACCAATTGTCCGCTAGTATTGCAGCACTATTTGACAACCTTTAAAGTGTGAATTTCGGGACGCACAAGAGGTATGTCTCAATATGCCCTCTTAAAAAGCGAAAATGAGATCCATAGGTTTAATGTAACCTAAATTCACACAAATTTCTCTTGGGCGATGTCGCTTATATTTCCCTCAAGCTTACACTTATTCCGCCTTTCTTTGTCTGGACAGACACAAGCTCGTTAATTGAAATCCTTTCCCATTCACTTTACAACTATTTGATTACCGTGATTGTTGTAGTTATTTCAATCGGTAGTGCCACCATGGTTAATTGCCGTAAAAAGTCTTCGGTATTGGCAGCCTAGTACATATTTTTTGACTTGGCTTTGATTCATACCTAGTATCAGGGCTAGTTTAACTAACTGTTTGAGTGAGTAATATGGATGAATCGAGGCTCAAACCCGCACTCATTGACCAATGCTTTTCTGTCTGACGGGTTACATATGATTGTTCGAAATATTCTTACTTCAGTAGTGTCCCCTGATGTATGACTAACTACAGCCACGGTATATTCTTACACAAACAGCAAACTAACTAGTTGTGGGGGCAATTCAACTTCAATTTGGTGATAAATTTCTCATTTTAATGTGTGTATCAAGCGTTCGGCTCCACCTTCCACTTGTGGCATATAATCTTACCAACATGGAACAGAAATCGGTTCCGAACTTCAGAGACGACGTGTACCCAAGAAACCCTCCCCTTCCACGGGGGATTGTCTTTTATTATCACCTTACATAGTATTGCATGACTTATGAATACTGTCGCATGTTAATCTGTAGCTTGTGAGGTTTCATAACAGTTTCTCCTTGTTGAAGTGAAATTTCAAGTGTCGGTTTACTGTACTATGTTGGAAAGTATGAGAGCAATCTAATGTAATTTATTTAAATGTTTGCCTGCTTAGCTATAAGCTACAACACATGTGGCATTTTATCTAATGTCAGATTTCGGTTTTTAAGTGCTTGCCTAGTTCCCATTAACATAAAAGTTCTGCGACTATCATACATTTCTGGTAATTTTTCCAGTCACGATTCTGCTGAGATTCTCAACATAATTGAATTTAATGGTTTTATTATGATAGCATGATCATAAGTTTTTACATTTATGTAGGATAAGCTGTTCGAACTTTTCACTGGATTGATTGATAGTATATATTTCTATCTCATGAAAAATAGACTCATATGAGATAGGGGTCATGGTAAGTAGACTAATTTTGTTTATGAAAATAATCGCAGAGTTGCATTTCTTGTCATTTGTGTTCAACTATTCGTGCATTACAAAGTAGTTACCTATAGTGTTTAATTATCACATAAAAATATGAAATTAATCTATACAGTTATTCAATAAAAGTGGATTACATCCGAAATGAAAGTGCTTATTTTGATTTTAGAATGAATGTATTGCAGATGGTTAAACAAATGGACACTCTTTCACCGAGAATCCAAGCCTTGTTAAAGAAAGTAATTTTTTCAGGTGTAATGAAGACGCAAATAATGAATCTCTATTTTCTCGAGATGCTTTGAAGGCCAGACTGAGTGACCTGGAATTCCGTGTAACACAAAATAAAGAAACGGAAAAGTATGCTTTATTGATTTATCTTATTGTTTCAGACCTTTTTCAGGGAAATATGTAAATGAGAAATCACCTGGAATATATAGATGTGTTGTCTGTAGCTCAAAACTGTTTAGCAGTGAAGCGAAATTCTTCTGTAGTTGTGGCTGGCCTACATTTAACAGTCCTATAGAGTGTAACTCATTGACCTCATCCATTGATTTGTCATCAGGTATGTACTAGGTAATTCATTTCATTTTTGTTTATCGAGACAACTTGTATAATAGCCTATGTCAACACCTGAACTAAGGATAGGGAGTGAAGTAGTCGAACGTGTCGACAACTTCACTTTTCTGGAAGTCTGATCAGTATTAGTGGATTGTTGTCTGACGAAATCTCTGCGCGTATTCAGAAGGCTCGTTTGGCTTTTGCCAATTTACGTCACTTATGGCGAAAGCAAGATATCCGTCTATCAAATAAGGGATGAGTATACTGTGCGACAGTCCATTCCGTTTTACTTTACAGTGGCGAAACGTAGCCATTAAGAGTAGAAGATACTCGTATTTGATCACAGATGACTTAGAAATATTGCTCGTATCTCCTGGGATCACCGGGTAAGTAATAGTGAGGTTAGACGCAGGGTATTAGGGAATGATGGTATATCAGTTGATGAGGTTGTGAATCTTCATCGACTGAGATAGTTGGGGCACGTGTTACGTATGCCTGAACACCGATCACTACGATGACTAGTGTTAGAGGCGGCCAAACCAAAACGTGGAGTCATTGCTTGAAGATACTAACTTCTGGTCTTAGCCGTGTTGTTAGATGCATACTACTTGGTTGGGGTCTGTGTGACTATCGTAACCAATGGTTGGAGACTCTTGGTGATATGCCTCAGAACCGATCACAACCATGTACGTGTATACACTTTCTGTCTTCCGGTAAACCGTGAGAATAAAATTGTTTTTTTACCTCTATTTCTACGAATTAATTCTTTCTCCCTGTATCATATCCTTATGTGAAATCTTTCTTTTTTATATTACTGCCATTAAAGTGACTACTTCTATGAATTTGGTGTTCGTCTTGTCATTCTAATGAAGTGTGGCAACTTAGATCGATGCATATATGTACCTGGCCCTACGTTATAGCTGACTGACTTCCATATCTAAGTTATTTTAAACATGGGAAATCGAACATCATCAGTACCCAAAGCATCCCTAAAAATATTGTTGACAATGATTAGTAATTGAGCAAAGTGTCCAAATGTTAAAGAAGTTCAAAAGTAATTATGTCTTCTTAATAAGGCTAAATTACAAGTTTTTAAAATTTTTGCGCCAACAAGTTTCGAAACGCTTACTGATTCTATTCTCAACAGACATACTAGGTCTAATAAAGTACTAAGAAACCTATTCACAGTTTATATTCTAACAATTATCCTAAACGAATGGCATGCTTTTTAGCATCATCACTGGCTCACCACTATTTCATCTGTAGTCCAGCGATCAATAAGTTGTTACGAACCCAAATTCATCTAATGTAGTTTGGTGTAGGTTCGACACCTCGAGTCTTCACATAAATTGATGGATCATATTCTGTTTCGATTGTCCTGTTTCAAAGTATAATAAGTATGATAAGTTTCTTATTTACTGTACCGTCCTTAAAATATTGATGAAAATTCATCCTGTTGCTTTCATGGAAGTATATATATAAAGATACAACTATTTGATGGGAAAACTAGAATTTGTGTTCATAAGGTGTATTTCTATGTTAAAATAGTTAACCTAATTACGCAGCTTGTGTAATCTTGGTGTGTTCTCAAATATATAATTTGAATACCGACCACTAAATACATAGTATTATCACAATCTGGTATGCGCAGACTTTCAAACATTCTAATAGTCAGATTTTGCTTTTCCTTGTCCTCTAAATCCCGTTTGTCTTAAATTCATTAAACTTAATATGGGTGCATAAGACTAATATTGTGTAGAGCAGCAAGACGGCTTCGTATTACAAAATTGGTGTTTCAAAATTCCTTAACTGACACTCGGTCTTATAATTATACTTCATTGTGTATACAAATGATGTAAGTTTCAAGCTGTTAACTTGAGTAATTAGTAACTCTTTTGACATATGTAGAAAAGCAGTGTGCGCTTTAACGGTGTGAGTTTTTCGATTTGTTCAGTATTCCCAATATTCAATAATAATTCATCACTTTCAATGGATTATACGAGACATTTTGGTTTTCGATTTATTTTTTAGGTGAAGTTCGTGTAGAAGTTTCTTGCAAGGGATGCAATGCTCATTTAGGACACGTGTTTGACGATGGTCCGAAACCTACAGGTCTTCGTTATTGCATTAATTCTTGTGCTCTAATTCTTGATTCTGATATTGGTAGCTCATCTGGTTTAAATTTGCCAACTGCTTGATATTTTTTATTGTCAGATATAATGATGTTAATTGTACGTAAGCTAGAATTATCCTAGTGTTGCATTTCTAATCTCATGCTTTTTCCCAAAGTCTTATGATAAAACTTTGTGATGTTTTCTCACTTCCGTTTTACTTTTCTAATTTGTATTTCCTGTTTTTTATTTGAATTTATAAAAGTCGTTTTCTAATTTTTAAATTGCTTGTCTTTTAGTCTGAAATTCAAGTTACGCTGGGTGTTTAGGAAGGGCATTTTTTCCCAATGGAATAAACATTTCTGTTTCATTGGTAGTTAGAATCCTTTGTATTCATCGTTCCTTGTATCGTATGTATGATAAAATTCACCTTGTGCTTAACACATTTGCATGGGCTGCTTATACTCATTAAATGCAACCAGTCGAAAGTACCCACCATTTATCGCTACTTCTCATACCAATACCTGTTCACAAGCACAGAATCTGTCCGTACAATATAAACAAGCATTTTTAAAATTGTTTTTGGGAATGACACCTCAGAATCAAGGCTTAACCAAATGAATTAGTTCTAAATGGGTTTTAAATTCCTTATTCTAAAATATAGAACATCACTAATCTACGTATAGTGCATTAGCTCTTTATCCACACTTGACATTTCTCCTCTTCCCGTTCAAAAATAAGCACAACAATAAGTCCCGTAAAATCGTTACCGTCTCATATCAGGTTGAAATAGGTGACTTGCATAGAAAATATTTATGAGGTTGAGCAGTTCAAATACAATTACTTTTGCAATTTCTATCGATTCTAGGCGGCATATTTTTTCCTGTGTGGTTATTATTTGCTCAAATATTTTAGGGTGCTACCAAGTATTTGTATTTACATTCTCATGAAGTTTATTTGATACCAAACACCTTGTTTAGTAATTTCTGCGTCATTTGTATCGTGTGTTTTTTTCGTAGAATATTACTTATATGCTTATCTTTTAGAATGTAAGACAAAAAATTCTCGTAATTGTACATTTTTACGATTCTTACCTTGTACTTCTAAATCTCGGAAGTAACTTCCTCTCTTGACAATTTGTTCTAAACATTTTAATTACTGGTCCGACGGTGAGTGATTAAAGCCGGTTCCGAGTTTGTATGTTTCTGACTGCGTTTTTACGTATTGTTCAAGTTATTACATAGTGAATTGTACTGAATGTTCGCAGATAATATGGACATGGTTGCCAAATTTAGTGTTTCTATAAGTTAGCCCGCACTGTATTTGGCAATCAATAAACTTCATTCAAATCTCAGGATTACTACGTATTTTTTCAATCAACCCATAGTTGCTTTCCTGATAGATTGTCAACGAGTACTGTCCTCAAGATATTACATCGTTTTGTTTAATCCCTGTACAGTTTTCACATGGTTATGAGTCATCTGTTTAATGAGGCCCCAGTAGCAATTGAATTCTTTTAGTTCCACTAGTTCATGTAACCGGTACTAAATCTCCTTTATCTCCACAAGTATATATTAGGAACTCGCAAGATCAGCCTGCAACACGTTACTTACCATTTTATAAAAGTGAATATTGTAGTTTATTGAATTCATATTTACAAAAACATTTTAGCATGTATTGAGTACAGTTTATATAAATTAAACCCTTCTTTATAAACTTCGTTTCAAATTTGGTAATAGGGATAGTTTGTTAATAGATTTTTTGTTCACTACTCTTGTAATTGTGACATTTTTTGTTGAAACATTTTTAAGTATTTAACAGGATGATGTATACGTTAATGCATGACTTAACTCACATGAAGCGTTATATTCACATGATGCTATCCAGGTGTGTTAATCTTACTAACCGCTGGAATTTTTAGTTATTCATTTTCATGCCTAACTAAAACTGCCCACGAAATCAATATAAGTGATACTCGGGCCGGAAAAAACTGCTTGGAAATTCAAACTACTTGTGAGTAGTTTGACGAGTTATCTTGGTTTCCTAATTCAGTTATTATTAACACTAACTGCTCCAATATTCTCGGCTCGATAGGATAATTAAAAGTAGTCGAGTTGGGTTTAGTAGCTAGTAATTATAAAGACAGCGAAATTTTTACCATAGTGCTCACGAAGGAACCAGTATTTAAGTTAGAGGATCCAGTGAGCACACAAAGGTATCGTATTTTGAATCCGAACCAGGGGGAGAGAAATATACGGCGGAATTCCTAATTAGCACAAATAGAAAAAGCGATTAAACGAAAAGTGTCCTTTATTACTGGTGAAGCATTCTACAACTCCTTATTTGTAACTGCTGTTGAAGTGTAAAGTAACGACATGATGCCATTGATTTGCGTCGCCTGTTTATTGGCTTGATGGCTGTCATGCGGCCATAGTTTTAAGCCACCATATACTATCACTGACCCCTTACATAAAAATCTGAGACGAAGCTAGTCCGACTAATTTGTGCGTGTATAATTACGTTATCCTCGATACTAAGATACCACCGTCATGCTATTCGAGCAATCCCTAAATCCCCTCAGACGATCAAGTTCTTGAGCCATTCCAGTCTTGATGGGAGACAATGACGACCTTATTACTACTTGTGTTTCTAATGCTTGTTTAATCTGGGAGAATTCTAGAGTTCCTGTAAAGTTTCAGTCACACTATGTTGCTGAGCGTCGACAATTATAAAACCTAGGTAAGTCACTTCCTGCAAATCATCTCTAAATAATGTAGTATTAAATGCAATGAATAATAATATTTTAGTATCAAGACTTATGGGTAAAATAGTGTTCAGCCCATTTATTTCTTAGCAATATTCTTATCTATCATGACTAGGTAGAGAAGAAAAGTATTTATAGATAACATAATGTCTTCATGGAAGCTTCATCGTATGGAATGAAAACTAAGCCGTCCTGTTATCAAAATGTAGTATGGGACTCCTGGTGGTGTAATTTAGTTCGGTTCAGGATCTCAATGAAACTTAACATTCTCCACAACCCCATACTTAAGAACATATTGCTATTCTTTGTACGAGAGATATACTCCAATAGTTTTACAGTTGACGCATTATTCATTTAATCAATTTTTCGTTTTTCACTTTAAGCAATGCGCTGACATTGGTTATCTAGTATTTTGTGTAACATATCACTTGTATCTTTCTACGTGCTAGACATAAGTTCATATAAACACTGTTTTTACAATTATGATGTTTGAATATTTTTAACAAATTCAGATACTAGTAACACTGATGCACTGTCCTAATTACTATGTGAAATAGTTTCATAATCTGTATAATGTTCACTTTTACACAGACTACAATTCAAAATCAAAATAACTTAGTATCTGTGTGATTATTTTGAACCTTCAATCTTGTAGAATGTTACATAGAATGGTTAAGTTAGAAAAAGTTTTTTATTTTATTTTATTTTATTTGAACACATAAATATTGGTACAAGAGAGCGCCAATATATATGCGCCACACAAAACAATGGGAATTCGAAGAGAAGAAGAAAAAAAAAAACTAAGGAACGCAAAAGAAAAAGAGAGTAATGACGATAAGGTACAATCAGAAGAAATCTTTCAGGTAAAGGAGACACAACCACTTTTTATGAAGAAAGTAAAAGAAGCTTACAGCAGGATCGCCACTGGCTTCTATTCTGAGCCATATCTGATAACGTCTCTAGCCACTGTGTAGCACCATCTCTCGGACCCCAGCCAGGGAGTCGTGAAGGACCAACACAAGCCAGTCCTTTGCAGCTTTCTTTCATGCCACGACACCATGTCATGCACTGACCACCTCTCCGCTTCTTCCAACCAGTCCCAGAGTCGGCAAATAATGCACGACGTGGAATTCTCTGGGACGACATTCGGAGAACATGTCCAAGCCACCGAAGTCGGTGTTTCAAGATGGTGACACCAATTGAGTTATCATCTCTGTGCCCGAACACACGATGCCGAACCTCTGCATTACTGACATGGTGTTGCCACTGGATGTCAGCAATCCTTCGGAGACAGCGATGATCGAACACAGAGAGTCGTCTAACGTCCTCAACTCGGAAAGGCCAGGTTTCACAAGCATAGAGCAAAACTGCTCTCACCGACGCGTTGTAGATCCGGCCTTTTACAGCCAGACTAACATCACGAAGGCGCCAAAGGTGGCCCAGATTGGCATAAGCCGCTCTGGCTTTCACTATTCGTGCATTGATCTCATCACTCAAACCCCCACCAGCACTTATGCAGCTACCCAGATACACGAACTTCTCAACTACGTCTATCTGCTCACCATCCAGGGTGAGTACAGGATTAGAATCCTGCCAGTCTTGTAGAAGTACTTTGCACTTCGAAGGTGCAAAGCACATACCATACCTACGGACACTGATTGCCAACTGATTAAGTGCGGATTGCATGCCTTGGGCATTATCGCACAGTAAGACAATATCGTCCGCATACTCAAGGTCGAGAAGTCTTTCTCCAGGCAACAGATCCACACCACCATTACTTACATTCATCAGAGCTGTTTCCAGAATGTCATCGATGGCAAAGTTGAAGAGGAATGGTGAGATTGGGCAACCCTGCCTAACCCCACTGCTCGAATGGAACAATGGAGAGAGGTGGTTGTATGCCCTCACTCTGCCTGAGGTGTTTTTATACAGGGCTTTTAGGATGTTAATAAACTTCTCAGGCACACCCTTCTTCAATAGACAATCCCAGAGAACAGTCCTATCCAACGAATCGAAGGCAGCCCTGATGTCAAGAAACACTACGATTGTTGGCCTTTGAAAAGTATGGCGGTGTTCTAACATTTGGCGGAGGGTGAAGATATGATCAATACATCCTCGACCAGAACGAAACCCAGCCTGCTCCTCGCGAGTCAATCTTTCTCGGGTTTTGAACAACCTACGAAGAATGACGGAAGCCAATAGCTTGGACGCAATCGGAAGTAGACTTATCCCCCGATAGTTGTTACAAGAACGACGTGAACCCTTTTTAAAGATAGGGACAACTATCGACTCATTCCATGACGTTGGCACACTCTCTAGTTCC